AAAGGAAAAGAAAAAAATGAAACTTGTTTCAAATGATAAAATTGTAGAAGTTGAATTTGATCATGAAAATAATATTCCAGCCGATAGATCTCAGATATGTTTATTTCATCAATTTCTTAAAGATAAACGAAAAGAGGAAGTTTGAAAAGTTGATAAGAAATTGTTAAATTCTTTTTGATAATTACAATTCTTATTGTTTTTCGATCTGTTGACAGCAATTTTGGAATTGAACATTTGTGAATCACATTTTGTGAATCACTTAGATAGCAATTAAAGCGACGAATTTTATTTTCTCCCTCAAAAATCATATTTTAGATTTATTGTTTATAGCACGATATAGGCTGGAAGGTGATAATATTATTTTATCATTTCTTTTTACTTAATTATTTTCCGATCAAAGATGAATTTGAAATTTTGTACTAAGAATAGATGTACCAACAAATTTATTTTAACCAATACTTTATTTGTAAATACGACAAATATGAATAAAATATTTGCAAATGCTAGCAACTTAATTAAAACATTGTCATTAATTAAAATACTAATTGAGATAATGTTATTACTGAGTATGTAATTACATATCATATGGTCTAATTAAATAATGATGTATCATGCGGAAATTTTAATAACAAATATCCTGCATTAATCACATTTACTTTCTAAGCTATTCCGATACATTTTTAGAAAACAATTTTATAATTCTCAAATTTGATTTCAATAAATTTACCAAATAAAAAATTAAAACCTTTGGAAGAATTATAAAAGCAAATTGAAAATTACTGAAGCAGAACTTTTAAACACATCCGTTATTTGTTTACCATTTACAATATCAGGTATCTTATAATATACCTGATATCTTCTTATACGAATATAGCACTTAATTATTTGGCAAAAATTCAATTCATAGCTAGAAAAATCTTTTCAAAATCGATTACATCTACAAATCTCTACCTCCAATAAATTAATTTTAAGAGTTCTTTATGAAGTCCTTATTTATTCTTCCCTCTAAATGTTGGCACCCGTTTGTTAGATTCTTTATATAAAATTGTTCACTTCATTCATCCTTTTCTTGATTTCAACCTTGTCGGTTTCAAAATTAACTATCTTCAATGTATTTATACGCGTGACGAAGAATTTTTCAACATTTAATTATTTAGGTCATTTTTTAGGTATACGAATTCGTGCAAAAATTACTAGCCAATTCCGATACCCATTAAAAAAGATTTCTAAGCAGAAGAACTATCATCCACTAGATGAAATGAATTGGCATTTATTATCAATGACTGAAAAGCCAAGCAATGAGCATCATTTCAATTCATTTCCGCAACACACATGTACATCGCGTTGATGCAGTATCCGTCTTCATCTATCGATAATTAAATGTTGATATTTAAAGATCATAAAGTGATATTTGCACAATTCCACTGATTACTATTGTACGAAAATTTCAAGAATAAATTTCAAAAAAGAAAACAAAAATAATTGTAGAATGAATCATTTTAGAATGAAGGCGATCCTTCAATACATGCAAAGAAAATCGAGCATTTAAAGCAGGAAAATTCACAAAATGAATTTTGGTAAAGCACTGTTGTGGAATTTCCCGGGAACTCTCAAACAGTTCGGGAAAGAGACTATTGTGCAGGTTATAATAGCATTTGTGTGGAACTATTGTAACTGAACATATTGTAACTAAACAAAGCAAAATGTTGTAGTGAAATCGAAAATATTGTGATTCAGTGATTTCGTCCGGTCACAACTCGTACGGTTCACCGAGAATTATTCATCCATGAATTGTCCATGTAATATCGGTAGAAGATCAACAGAACAAATCTGCAAGTAAACTTTATTTTATTACCTTAAAAACTCTAATTTTAAGTTGCTCCAGCGACACGCATTGCCATTTCTATAAGTACACTGGGTGTTATTGCATTATCACGCGATGAGAGAAAGATGGAAAACAGACTGTTTTTAGATTTTTAGTAGATGGCAGAAAACTTCTCACCCATCCAATGTATGTGTTGCTACCCAATTAATTGTCGTGACAGCAAATAAAGTCCATTTATTAGTCAGAAAATGTTGGCCAATATTAAAGACAAGAGCAGATCCAATCATCGTAAGTGCACTGATACACGACTGGAAAGGAATAAACAATTTATAACTATGCGATTCATTATTTTGGACTTGACAACCGGGCTCATTATAATATTTATCACAATTTGTTATTTAATTTTATTAATCACCCAATAATTCCAATGTTTGTATACTTGCCTGTTTAAAAAAGTATATGTCATTCTCGCGGTTGGAAGGACGCCTCGTCAGTTCTTGTACTACTACTAACTGAAAAACTTGGTACAAATAATTTCTTTAGTGCAATCAGCGATTAACGTTTAAATTTGTTGAATCGAATATTTGGTTGAAAATTTCAAGTGAAACTGAATGTGAAATTTATTAAATATGAAAGATACATTTACTCCAAATAGTTATTCCGTTCTAATCCCAAAAATATCATCGATACTTTTATGCAAAGACACTTTATGTTGTATATATTTAAATATTAACTGTAAGCTCTTATCGCAGATAAATAATGAAATAATAGCAAATCGTAACTTTATTGTGACTTTTAATCTTCAAAAACGTCATGAATTCGATGCATCCCGCTATGATCATCATCGAAGTAGTCAACATTGTGTCGAACATCGAATTTATGTCACCGCAACCCGTGTTGCTGTAACTCCAACGGAAATCCAACTCCGCATTAAAAATAAGAGTACATGGTTCTGTAAAGATAAGATCTTACCGTTCGATAACCAAATTTTATAATTTTAAATTGTAATCTTGATAAATTATTTTGTTTCACTGATAATGATAAGATAATTTACTTTCTCTTGGATGATTTTACGAAAACTTTACCAAAAATGCTAGGCAAACACGGTAGAAACCCCAAAAAATAGGCAACAATTCCCGCACAGCGAGCTTTCGGTATGGTCCAATAAGAGTAATGAGTAAATGCGCAGTATCTATTCACCGCCATTAACAAATTTACCAATATTGCTCCGTAAAAAGACACATTTGCCAAGCATCCGGGTATTAAGGCTATGGAATATGCTGACGATGATAATTCCCGAAATCCTCTGAAATTGTAATTGATTAAACCAAGGGATGACCAGTCGTCACCCAACTTTCTATATACAATTGCGGCAAATTTTACGTAACAAATATTACGTTAGTAGGACAACAGCGCTCCATATCGATAAAACCGATATTGTTTGTATATTACACAGCAAAACTATAGTACGGAGAGTGCCAAAGGCATTCTGATAATGTGAATTTGATGTTATGATACGAAGTGATAAGCCGTTGCCGACAAATCCCAGCAATGATACCTGCAACAGAATTGGGATTAAGTGAAATGAAATCTTGTCAAGGTGGACTGATTAATTGTTCGCAACAAGACATTGTCACTTAAGTCTTTTTGAAAGGATAGTGTGTTTCTATTGTATGTTACTTCATATTACTACGACAAGTTTAGATAAGGTTAAAACTGAACTTACCATAGTAATACAAAGAAGTGCAAACGCATTTTCTAATGTGCTGGGCATTGTGGTTGCCATCACGTTTTTCGGAATTAATTAAGAAGTTGGAATTGACGATTCAAAGAAAACGTAGCAAAAAAAAGTTTTAAAACAAACGTATGTCAAAATCGTTGCTTTCGTGTGAATTTGAAAAATTCGTCAAACTACAATAGCAACTATTTCAATTCAATTTTAAATCTTCCACATTAATCGCAATCAATTGATGACAAATAATTTATGGATTCTTAAATCGCTTTGCCTTTTTTGGAATTTCTTTTCTGATCACTGAAGACACTTTAGATCTATCTCAGAACTGAATTTTCTGCAGCGTTTATTTCAGAATCAACATGATGTCATATCATAATGAAAAACTAGTGATAATGTCTGTGTGTGTACATGTGCAATATTAAGTTATCCACTTGCAAAGAAGAATATATTAGTCATTAAAATTAAGAGCAATAAAGTAATTAGAAATCAAATATATGGACTAAATCAATTTTCGAAGCAACTTGCCACCTATACACACTTATTTATAGATTTGTTTATATGCAAGTTGTAGTAGAATACCTTCGTCATAAGCTTCCATCGTAACCTATTTCATTTTAACTAAATATATCAAATAACGATAATAAAGAATTTGCATTTTAAAAATTTGCGGATTGGATGGCAATAGTCTTATCAATGTTTAATATTGAAAGGTGAAATCACATTGAAAGGTGAAAAAATAACTTATCAGATAAGGAGTAGAATGGATAATGGATTGAATATACAGAAAGTATTAAAGAAAGATAGATTAGTATGAAATGATGAATGAAATGGTTTGAATTGTAACAAACTTTCTTCGCCTTATGATATGATAATTTTAAAATATGATATTTTAATTAAAGGTGGTTTAATTAAAGGTACGAACAAAATTTTCTCCAATAATTCACAGCAAAACTTCGAAACGATGTTTATGTGATAAAATGTTATTAAACATTTGATGGATTTTGATTGAACATAGTAATTACAATTCTGATCATTTTTATAGTTTCACAATTAATTTGGGCAGTCATGTGGAGAAATAAAAAGAGGAAATAATGAGGATAAGATTAAAGATATAGTGATGCTTATGAAGTGATAAAGGTTATTCCGCATCGTTATGTTCCGTTTTTATTGAAGTGAAATGAGTTGATTCCGTAGCTATAAATGATCGCAAACAAGAGAGAGATGGAAAATAACGTTGGATTGCATTGATAACGAATTATTTCATTATATTTCAGAAGTAAATGTTTATTATTCTGAAATTTTTGTAATCTCATTGCAAAGTTAAAAAAAGATCTGAAATATGCAAATATTTTTTTTTAGTATTATAAACGTTAATATGAATTTGTTATTGTTACATTTGACAAATTTAAATTTCGATTGAATTGAAATTTAGTGAAATAAATTTTCTGATGCTAAAAAAGTTAAGTCACGTTGTTTTATA